ACACAAAACAGAAGCAATATTGTAACAAATTCAATAAGGAATTTAAAAAAAGTGATCCACATCAAAAAATATTAAAAAACAACAACTAATGTCAAACAACAATCACATCCAATTTCTGGACCTTGGGACTAGGACATTGTACTGACTGTTTCCTCTCCGTGGATCCTTTTTTTTTTTTTTTTTTTTGGCTGAGCTGCACGCCTTGTGGAATCTTAGTTCCCCAACCAAGTATTACTGAACCCGTGCTCTCGGCAGTGAGAGTGCAGAGTCCTAACCACTGGACCACCAGTGAATTCCCTTCCTCCCCTCCTTTAACTGTGTGCTCAAATATCATCTTATGAGAACAACCCTATGTTTCCTACTGAAATCCTCCTGACTCCACATTCTTGTTATTCCTTGGTGCTGATCTTTTTTTTTTTTTTTGCATTTCTACCTGTCACCTTATAATTTACTATAATATGTAGCATTTTCTTTGTGACTTATTTGTTACTCTCCTCAATAAAGTCTTTTGAAGGACACTACAGGAGGACATATTTCTTTCTTCACTGATATATAACACACGTCTAGACCTGTCTCTGAAGCTGGTGAGATGTTCAGTACATGTTTTTGAAGCAATGAAACAGCACAAGGTGGTAGCTTCCTTCCACACTTTCACCTCTTTCTACTTTCATTTGATTATTTCTTTCCCTCCAAGTTTAATTCTCCTTAAGCTTCTCATGAGTGAAAAAAAAAATACACTTTGTAAAAACAAAAATTTCTCAGTAGCCAAATTTCCAGCATAGTCATGGGCTCAACTTAATTCTTTTACAATTTAGAACTAAAGGTTCTCTGCTTACCACCTGAAGGTTCTGCCCCAATTTCCAATGTATATGGGGGAGGGGTGGATTTCCACACAATACCAACCAATTCTCCAACACTAGCTGGGTGTCCCACAATTTAACAATTCTGACGCTGTCTACCCTAAGATAGCATCAGATTCCAAGGTTAAGGGCTCAGTCCTTCAAGACTGACCCTCGTAGGACCCCCCCCCC